AGCTGAGGTTGTAAATAGGTCATTAGAATGTGTGGGAGTTGAATAAACTTGAAGTGGAGGTGAGGAATGGAGCACATAATTTTTTTTGAAAAAGTTGAAACCTACCGGTAGATTTTTTTCCAGTGCACTGTTTTATCGGTAGGTTTTTAACGTTCTACCAGTAGGTTTAGCCTAAAAATTCAAAAATGAGGATTTTAAATTAGAATTTTTGGGGAAACCTTTCACATTCTTCACTCATCTCATCCTTAAAAACTTTCTCCTCTCCCTCAAAACCTTTCAAATACTCAAAGAACTTCTTGACACTCATCAAATCTCTAGATTATCTTCCCCAAAGTTTTGATTCATAGTGATTAGTTCTCACTTTCTGGACTTTTTCCCACAAAAACCCTCATTTCCTCCACAAAGCTTCCCAAATCAATAAAAAACCTCAATTCTCACCCAAAGCTTGGAATTCAAAGGAATGGCTCGATTGGTTAAGTCTTCTCGCACTTTATTTGATCTTTTTGATGAACTATGGAGTTGGTTGTAGTTTTTGTTGCCCTAGTGGCATTTTTTATTGTTATGGCACAAACTAAACAAACAAGGTCCAGTTCTGCACTACCCACGGGAACGGGATCCTGCGAGAAGACTACGGGGGCATGCCCCAGTGGTGAGGAAAACCGAAAAAAATAAAAGAATGACGCTCACACGAAGATTATAGAGGAGAAAAATGTGACGTGCGAGCAGCATGTAAATAGGCCCACCCTCAAACCAAACGATAAAGTGGTCTGAGTGATAGAGGATCATGACATTGATGTTTGGTTCAAGCCCGTGAGGGGTTATGTCCTTCCCATGTGTAGGGAGTTCTACCAAAAGTTAAAGGTGGTGGATGAGGATGTATGTTTGTTCAAAACCAATGTGAGAGGGAAGGGAATGAAGATCACACCGGGAGTCATTACGGATACATTGCATTACCAAAGACCACCTCCTAACACACCGGTTTATTCTTACAACAACTAAGGGCGGAAATCAATTTAGGAATACGCAAGACTAATGTATGAGGACCCAGCACAATTTAAAGGAAAATCCAAGTTGGGGCACTCAAGCACTTCTACGGGGTAATGAAAAAGGTTCTGTATTATAATTTGCTACCTCGAGGAGTGGAGAAGACTTCGAGGAAGGAGAAGCTATCCCTTCTCTATGCTTTCATGATGAGCTAGAAGATGGATATCGCACTCATGATTTGGGAAGTGATGAAGGAGTACGCCCAGGCTAGTAAGCCGAAAGCAAATCTCCCTTATGCCAACCTTGTCACGAGGAACTGCCTCCATAATAAAGTCAAGGGAAGCCCGTTCGTTGTTACCCTCCCGCCAGAGTTTGGAGCTATAGGCAAGTATAGCAGTATGAAGAGGTCGACCATAACAGGAGGGTCAGGCTAGAGGGAAGAGAAGGGGAAGCCACCGAGAGCCGAGCCATCTACAGCTAGACCCTCTATGTCTACGCCACCCACTACTACCCCACCTCGGACAGTGGCACCAAAGAGGAGAAAGGAAGGGGGAGAGAGAGAGAGAGAAATTTATAAGATTTTGGAGTTAAAAATTAAATAGAAAATTTTACTTTCGATCATTACCAGATTGAAGTGTCTTATTCGGGGTACTTCAAATTTCTTATCTATTGAAAATATTAATGATTTTGAGGTATGGGGTAGTATACAATATGCTTCTGTCTTTTAAATCTCTTTGCAAAGAGTGTCCTTTCATTATCTGAAAGTTTGTATTTCTATTGATTATTCTGATTGATACGAAATTCTGTCAATGTTATCGGTTGACCTGTACGTTGGGCTAAATACTTTGGGATTGATTGGTACATGTACGAAGTGTACTTGGGGACATAATTGGTAAAATGTGATTATGGCTCTGCGGGGTGTGATTTGTGATTACAGCCCTAAGGGATGTAATGGTTCGATAAGAGTATAGATTTTAAATGTCCAAGTGTCATGTCACCAAAAGGATTCGAGTATGAGGCTATATTTGATAGAAATTGAGCTATGTGACTTACCAAATTGGATTCTTGATTCTTTTATCTATAATTGTTTATCGATTGAATTATTTAGTATTTGATCCTTTATATATTTTTTTCTCGTTGAACATATTGTTTCCTGTCATATTATATAGTTATCCGCCTTTAATATTTTTTAAGACTATCTCGGAGGGAATAACTAAAGCTGATATTTGAGGAATCGAAAATGGACAAATCTTGATATAAATTTTAATTTTTATTGTTATTTGGAGATCAAAATTGTGATTATAAATTTATTGAGGCAATAAGAATTTTGGTCTTGTATTTGGAGATTTATTTGTGGTTTATTGTGATCGATTGATTTAATCAAGTAACAGGTCCTGAAAATGAGGGCGTTACAATCACTGAGGAGAAAAGCACACCGTCAATGTCTGTGAGATTCAAATCATCTTTAAGTCATTCAATATAAAGAACGGTGAGAAGATCTAACAAAGCAATTATTAAATCGAAAATTGAGAATCACGTTAACCCAACTCTTGTCTTCATCAAATTCACCAAAGTCATCAACAAATTGAAAATTGAAAATCACGTTGATCATGCCCTCGTTTTTACCAAAGCATTACCAAATTGAAGATCGAAAATCACGCTGATCAAGCCTTCCTCATTTTCACCAAATCCACCAAAATCAACAGAAATTGAAAATTAAGAAACACATTGATCAATATCTGGTCTTTATCAAATTATATCAATATCACCACCAAATCAAAAATTGAAAATACGTCGATCAAATCTTCGTCATCATCAAATATTATCGATAATTAGAGGATTGTACAAGAAACACATCAAAAAAAGTCAACACTACTTTATTAAGTCAAGTCAAAAAAATCAAACTATTAGAATTTGACGTTTTCTTTTGTGTTAATTTTTCATACAAAATACATCATTACTAGGGTGAAATTAGATTTTTTCCTATAAAATAAATCATGGATATCTGTAATGGACTACTTATCACATCTATTAATTAAACCCGAGAGACTCCAGACATCCAAGTTCACACTTCGCTCCGTGTTGACACTATTGGGCTGCCTGTATGTAATAAGACATGCAATACATGAAAGTGTTATTAAATCTTATTCTTGGCTAGCAAAAATGGATACCCATTTCCTGAGGAGCAAAGGCAACTCTTCGCTAGAGATAATAAAGAAGATTTAATAGTATTTTTAGTCCTTAAAGTATGTATTTTTTATCAATTTAGTCCTTAATTTATCAATTTTATTAATTTGGTCCTTAAAATATTTAATTCGTGTCATTTTGATTCCCGCATGCACGGAACATTAAATTTTTGACAGAATAATCACATACTGGACACATGATACTGCCTAAAAAAATGACCCGTGACCATTTTTGTCAAAAAAATTAATTGTCCATTTATATGAGGACCAAAATGACACAAATTAAATACTTTAGAGACTAAATTGATATATTAAATATTAAACTAACAAAAAAATACATATTTTAGAGGTCAAAAATTATAATAACTCTAATAAGAAATAGGTTGGAAAGTGAGACAATGACAGCAGGGTGACACGCGCAAATGGTATGCTCCACACCTCCAAGAATTTATCCTCAAAGTTGTCAAGTAGATATGAGATGGTTGGATCGTTTATGTCCAAAGAGATTTGATCGCATATTCTAAAAGAAAAAGTCCACCTACACCATGTGAATGTGGATCATTTTATTTACAATGTCTTGTTAATGAAATTCTTGTCTTTTCCCCGGAACAAGCGGCGTTACTTTTTTCTTCAAAACAAGACAACAATGGAGAAGATTGAAGAGACTGTGTCACATTCAATACTGTCGTTTTGAATTGATGGCAGTTCGTCTCGGACCCGAGCATTACTTTCAGGGCTGTTTGGTATGATTTTTAGGGGAGATCTGGATTGGATTGTTTAAACGAGAGATCTGGATTGGATTGTTTAAACCCGAGTTTGACCCAAAGATGGGATTCAACATTTAATGTTGTTCATATCCATGTTTGATATGCGCAGGGATATATGACTATTATGATAATATATCTACACAATAAAACATCTCATACTTTGAATTTTATCCTAGTTATATTTTTCCCCTTAAAACCATCATCAATCACTTACCTCACTCATCATCCCTCTGTCAGACTCAAACGTCAAGTCGCATCACTCATTTTTNATTTTATCCTAGTTATATTTTTTTCCTTAAAACCATCATCAATCACTTACCTCACTCATCATCCCTCTGTCAGACTCAAACGTCAAGTCGCATCACTCATTTTTATCACATATTTAATCATTTATATATTTTCTCCATAAAAACATCACATTACTCATTTATATCATATGTTTAATCATTTAAGATTTGATTAATTTGTAGTTAATATAATTTTTATTTCGAACATTATTCATATACAATAGTATATACATATTTAAAAAAAATTAATATAGTGTGATCAATTTTTTGAGTACTCGAATTTTATATTTTATCATACATTCAGGCACAAGTTATGACTAGATTGTATATATGAAGTATATATAATATATAAGGATATAAATGTTATTTACATGTTAAATCCTTAAACCCACAAATGAAACCCACCCCCCTCCCTCCCTTGGATTTCATGAAATTTAAGTATGTGGATTTCATGACCGAGGCATGACCTGGCCGAGTTTAAAATCTTATCCATACTTCATGGTTGCCAAACATGAATTTAAGGGAGTTTACTTCCCAACTCATGTTTCCAAACCCTCCCCAAACCCACGGACCAAACAACCCCCATAGTCTGCCTTCCTGTATAACATCCGACCACAAACCATTCTCTCTCTCTCTCTCTCTCTCTCATGAAATATTCCAATCAGAAAACACTATTAGTATGTTAGCTCTTGCTGCAACTTCATATAATATGATGAAAGGTGCCTGCCTGATACCAACCATGTCATTTGGGAAAGAGTAAACATTCAATTTGAAGTCAACCTAAACCACAATTTGGCAAGAAAAGTCCAACAATTTTCACTAATAAGAGAGTAGTACATATGTTCTTTTCAAAAATTTTGCATCTAATTCTCAACATAACACTGTGGTGTTCACTCCAACATGAAACCATTTTGTATCCAAAATTAAAAATCCCGGGAAACAAGATCCAGATCTTCCTACTTACGCTCTTCCCGTTCTTCAGAATGTTATATCACTCTTAGTCCGATTGCTTTAATGCTGATAAGTCATCTTCCGGAATCACCACAATGTTATGGTGTCCAACAATTTTCTATTTACGAGTTAGATTAGATTTCCCTTCCTAGCTTAATCAACAAGGTCCTACTACTTTCTCGTCATGCTGTTGTGGCGATGTGAGACGATGTACTAATATTTCTAGGGCTTCCTTCATCCACCAATGCTGGCAAACTTCTCTAGCTTCCGGCACACTCATCTGCCCAAAAATAAGTGCACACAAAATCAACATCTTTGCTTGAAATCCAATTTTCACAGGAAAAACAAATCACTCAGCCTGATGCTCAATAATATATGTGCTCATAATGTATGTTTAGGTATATGAGGAGCACGTACCCATACTCTTTGGCGGATGTCTTTCTCTGGCCATAAATCTAGTTGCTCCTTAACAAGCAAGGGGAACATGCATCCTTCATAATAAGCATCGTTGCTTTTGCTCTGGAAATTCCATTTACCCAGTTCGCCCTGCAAAAAATCCCCCTTGTTAGGATTTCAACGACTCAGGAATTGTTGATAAAGTCCAATAAATTGTAGATAAGAAAGGGGTTCCACTTAGTACTACACTTAGCACTACGTATGAAGGTCATCTCTTGCACATAAACATGCTTAAAATAGATNTTCCCCTTGTTAGGATTTCAACGACTCAGGAATTGTTTGTAAAGTCCAATAAATTGTAGATAAGAAAGGGGTTCCACTTAGCACTACGTATGAAGGTCATCTCTTGCACATAAACATGCTTAAAATAGATGGGAAAAATTATAGAAGACGAAGAAACAGATGACATAATCAACAACACAATATGTGCTTCTTCACATGTCGCAGGGAAAGTCATGTAAAAGAAATACATTTTTGCAGGACAAGACAATAGAAAATAAATAAAGGAGAAAAGAAGAAATAAAACTTATCCTTNATGGGAAAAATTATAGAAGACGAAGAAACAGATGACATAATCAACAACACAATATGTGCTTCTTCACATGTCGCAGGGAAAGTCATGTAAAAGAAATACATTTTTGCAGGACAAGACAATAGAAAATAAATAAAGGAGAAAAGAAGAAATAAAACTTATCCTTCAATTGGATCAAACATTTTACGCGCTAGATTTAAACTTGCTCATTGAAACTAAAAGTTCATTTATGAGTTGAATTTATTCCTGCAATAACTTCAAGAAATATATTCCTAAAGACTTTGCTTTTTGTCAATCACTCTTATACATACTAGATTTGAATACTCTCATTTTCGAAAAAAAAGAACGATTTGGATATGCTCTTTTGCCTAATGGTAGATAGATCGTCACCAATACCATGAAAAGAACCTAGAAAGAACTAACCTCAACAATGCCTAATACCCCAGCTTCCTCAACAGTCTCTCGTAGAGCTGCTTCTTTTATCGTTTCATCAATTTCCCAGCCGCCCTGGTAAAAACAGTGAGACAGTGTAAAGTAGAGAAAAAACTTTAACATTCAACAAAATCTTATATTTTATGGGAATTAGCTTAAAGTCATAATACTTGTTTACTAGTTAATTGGTAGTCTTAGTACCTTAGGGAACAACATTCCTTTGCCTTTTCTCTGAGAACTAATAACAAGAACTTCTAAGTCTTCTTCCCCAGAGAATGTCTGACTGGTAGCTTTGCATCTGTATGGGATACATCTGCATAATTTAAACGAACAAGGGTTCACATTATTAAGCATGGACAAATTTATTTACTTTGTAGTTCGTTGAGTCTTTTTTTAGCTTTTTTTCTGCAATATATACAGAGCCCCAATTCAAAGAAGGATCTCAATTTGAATTAAATTGCCACCAGATTTGAATGGCAATCAAACAAAACACAATACACTTAGAAGTTAAACCATTTCCCCTCAGTCTCCTATCAAATCCTCCAAGTCAACCAAGTTGTAAATTTGTGCTATTTCACAACACAAGCATCATAGTTATATTGTTATCGAAGTTGGCATTGCTACATCAAATTGACAAGACAAATCTAGTTGAAAATTAAATCAAATGCTCTCTAATAATTGTGAGTTGACTCATCCTCCAAATCCGATTCTTGTTTGTTTTGAGAAAATAAAACAGGGAATGGAATTGGAGTGATGCCTTGTCACAACCCTTTATTCGATTTAATACAACCATATTAATCACTGGAGTACAACTCATGGAATTTTACCAAATCTATACACACCCTTTGATTGGTTTGTTTAACCACTTACCCTCCCAAAACCAAAGAAGGGTAAGAACAATATCGAACATTTTTGCCATTTTAACTGATTCCCCACATCTTCAATGTCGCATTTCTCTATATATCTCAATATAAAGCCAGAGAAAATGAAAGGAATTCAAACAAAATTCATCCCAGTATGCGAGAGAGAGAGAGAGAGAGAGAGACGAACCCAACGACTTGGCGACGACCTTTGCTATAACGTTGTAAATGCCTTCCGTTACGAGAAACCAAGGACACCATGTTTTTGAATTCCATTCCCATACCAATCTGAGAGTTGTTTGGAAACAAACGAATCACCAGAAAAGAACAAAAAAGATTTTTTATATTTTGGGCAAACGCCTTGAAATCGAAATGAAATTGAAATGCGACTCCACTCCCAAACTCTATCCCCAGAAAGACAGTGATAATTTTTAAGAGAAAATTGGCACCTTCACCCACCTTTAATAAATAACGAGAGAGAGAGAAGAGAGAAGAGAGAGAGAGAGAACCGTCCATTATCTTATTTGGCAAAGAAAGAATACCGATGCTACAGGCGACGATAGGACAGTGATNGAAGAGAGAAGAGAGAGAGAGAGAACCGTCCATTATCTTATTTGGCAAAGAAAGAATACCGATGCTACAGGCGACGATAGGACAGTGACCAACCAGGAGTTGACAAGTGGTAATGACGTGTCAAATGTAGACTCTTTCTTTATCCTTTGTAAAAAACAATAAATAAATGAAGATAAGACTTTGATATTAAAAAATATAAAATTAAATGCGACCCCAAAGTTAAATAATAGTCTTGGACCCAGGTGATTAAGACAATATCAATCTAAATTATTTACTTTTAATTAGATAATTTATAATTATTAAATAAAAAATATATACGTGATCTATTTTTATTATTTAAAAAATATAAATCATCGATACCTTAACACGCTCTTTAAATCTTGATTTAATGATTGATTGTGCAAAATATATACTATTAATTGTAAAATATTATCTTTCCACTTTAATCGTAAAAAAATTTTTTAACTATAATCATTTGTGTTATTAAATAGCACTCCACTTCGCTTTTTTGATATAGAAATATTCTTTTTTTTTAAATTGTCATTTAAAAATAAAGAGATTATTCATTATTATAGTCAAATGTAAAAGACATCGATTCTTCAAAATAAATTGTTTGATCACCAATATCTCACACATGACAAAACCACCTAAAATTTTCTATTATAATCTTTTTTTCACTTTTATATTTTTTTTTTTCTTTTGTTCTCCCTACACATTGATACTGCAAGTAAACGACTCAAATAATAAAATAAAGTTAAATAATAAAATTAAATTTTTATGGGTATCACTTTTAAATTAGGCAAAACTATTGCCCTCAAAAAATAATTTTTCAAAACTTTAGACCCTTAAAATTAAATAAAAGTGATTGTTCTTGTCAGATCACTGAATAACGGACAACGAACGCGTTCAGCCCCACGCTCACCGTAAAGGGCGTGGAAAAAACACTGAGCACCACTGGGATTTAGTGACCATCACATGTACAGATCACGCGCAAAATAGAGCGTAGAAGTATGGATAGTCCACTTGGCTTCATTTTACTGGTGAAAGGACAACGATACAGTTACGCTGATGTGAACCGTGCGGCCGTTGACTTTCAAACCCATCACTTAGTACGTCACATCTACTTTTTATAAGGGCAGGTCTAATCCTGCTTCTAAAATATATATTCCCCTCCCCCGGCCAAAAATTTACCATCCTCACCGTATCCCATATTCATTTTAATGATTAGTTGACCCTAAGTTTACGACCACCACCTAAGGAATCAATCGCTATTGTCACCACCCAATTTTTGATGATATTGATTATCAAATGGCGAAGACTTTAAGTGAAACGTGATGAATGCACTAAAAAAATTGAGATTTTATTATGTGATTTTGTGGTCNTAACATTATTTAAATAATTGGGGAAAATTTCAATTTACATTCTCAAAGATTATTTTTTTTTTAACGTTATATATATTCTCAATGTATTAAAATTATTACAATGCGGTCTTCCGTCTTATTCTCTAAAAATTCACCCCGTTGACGTTGGCGGATTGATTAATAAAAACTAATAAAAAGATTTGATTTTAACATTTTTAATACATTGAGATTATAATATAAAAAATTTAATTTTTGAAGGTACAAAATAAGAATTCTAAATTATTTTTAAATCCAAAATACAATTTGCCCGAATATTCAATAGGGAGCGACATGCTTCGTCATCACCATCACTTCAATTTTGTTCGTTAATTATTGAGATAGTAGTTAGTGAAATTATTATTTAAAATAAATTAAATATTAATAAAAAATAATAATAAGAAGTTCAAGGTCTAAGTGAAAATAAATACATAATTCATGGACTAAAAAAGATGATAGTCTCTCATTACGATGAAGTATAGAGATGTATTTTTACGAGTTTATAATTTTGCTGCATTTATTAACTTATTTTTTTTTTAATGTTGCGATCAAAAGTATCTAAACTATGATTCATTCCGAGAGTATCTAGGCTACCATTCACATTAAAAATTCGACCTCAAAAAAATTATTAAATTTAAAACTCAAAATATCTCAATTTATCGTTCATCTTTACGTTCACTAGACTACCTTAGAGTTGCAAGTTTGTCTTTGTCTATGTATTTTACCATCTCCAAATAAAAGCAAAGTAAATGGTTGTTAAATTGAAAATAAGATTGACTTGTTCAATCTCCAAAACAAAAATCAACACCGACATCACTTTAAATATGGTCAACTTTTCATTAATTGATTAGCACCTACATATTCATTACTGTGGTCCGAACGTCAATTTTGAAGCTCCCACAGATTTCACAAATACATGGAGTCAAAAAAGGCTAAACTCAGGTCGTATGGTTAATGAGTTGTACTACTCATCGATACACCTCAATGCTCTCAAAATCAACGGTTGACATCGTAATTTTTAAACAGTGATTCTTTACATATTAAAGAAGGCTCATCTCACATTATGTCCATTAAAAGGAAGGTTTTCGGCAATGTCAAAGGATAACTGCATCAAGGGTGAATTCAGCTGAATGTTTGTCGAAAAAGTTGAACCGGGTGATTCTGCAACGAGAGGACGTTAGAAGAGAATTAGATGTGTATCCAATATTTTCTCTTATGACGCTTAAGTCAGTATATTGAAGGAAAAAATGACAAAGTTCAAGTTTAGCTTATGAAATTGCATACCTTAGATATAAAGTTAAGGGTGTGTTTGGGTATTGGGATGAAGTGGGTTAACACCCACATGAATAGGTTAATAAAGTAATGGGTCCCATAAATTCTTTGTTTCGGAAGCAAAATGGGAGCTTGGATACAAATCCCGGGTCTAACCATAACCCGATTGCTACAGTGCTTTGTAACCCACATATACCAGTTAAAATTAACCCACTCCCTCCGTGGGTTACAAATCCAACCACCAGTATAACAATAGTTAATGACATTTTTACCCTTTTCTCAACTGATGTTTCATCCTTCACTTTCGTCTTAGCCTTTTCTGTCAAAACCAATTGTTGGGTTGAGAGCAGAAACGAAGGCAACGAACCGACTGGGAGGCATGAGTCTCTCTCCTCTCTCTCTCTCTCTCTCTCTCTCTTGAGTGAATAATAGAAGAGTTCACGGACAGATCCAGTTCAGCATCCGTCGCATTCTCTCTTTGACGAATAGATCTGGATCTGGCCACAGGAGGTCTGTTGTGATTCATAGCTCAAACGTATTTCTCCTGTGGTTCTCTCCCTCTTTCTTGTCTCTCTGAGGTTCATCCTAATATTCTTAATCTAATCATTTTGGGTACTTTCGTTGGATTTTTTTATGTTGGATCTTCATATTTGAAGTGATTGTGTCCTGGGTTTTTCAAGTTTGTGTGTTTTTTAACCAAAACTGAGTCTGATTGTATCAAATTTCATTTTTATGAGCTACACCATTTTTTTACGGAAGGTCAAATATGGTTGTTGATTTATGGAAGTTCAAGAGATGTGTAAGATTGAGATTGAAAAATAAAAACAAAATTTGCTTTGGGTGTAGGAGGAGTGGCGTCTACAAGATCCAAGGATAATAAATATGTTCCAAGAGTTTTTGGGCAAAAAAAAAAAAGTTTCAAGATAGTTCCATCCATTTTTGATTCAAATATAAGATAGGATTGGATTGGCTAGGGGTGCAATAGTCAAAACATATTATTTTAATGCTTTTAAATCACATTTGTCAGGGAATCCCATGGAGATGTAAAATTAGTTTACCAAACATCGACATTGATATATATCCAATCCGAATATAAGCTTGGTCGAGTTTGGTTTGGATAGGCAAGGTTATCTTTTTGATATTCTATCCAATCCACTCTGAACATCCAAACACACCCTAAGAAGCTATTTATATCTCAAGGTCTTGCCTTGTCCTAAAAACAAGGTTAGTAGTCAAGCCGGAAGAGAGGGAAACATCCCCAATTTGATCGCACATTGGGCAATTGAGGGTTAGTCCTTGTTGACGATAGGTCAATAGTTTTCGAGTCATGTTTATATTGTGCCTCGAGTCACGCATTTATAGTCTCCTGAGAACCCAAAGTCGAGCATTTATTGTCCATTAATGCTCAAGGTAGAGTGTTAATGGGACATGCTCTACTGAATGTCTTATTTTGTTTATCAAATTTGTGAAAATCTTTACAATTTCAATGGATTCATTACTAGTTCATGATCGATCAAATATATTTGATCGATCATGGACTTTTTGTCTCTCTCTCCTGCCGCCATTAAGCCAATTGAGGGCAAAATTACAATATTAGTGGGAAGTTTACGACTATAGTGAACAAAATTACAACATTAGTGAAATTTTTACAACAGTAGTGAATAAAATTACAAAATTTGTAGGAATATTTACAACTTCAGTGGTATATTTATCAAATTTGTGAGAATATTTACAACTTCAGTGATATGTTTATCAAATTTGTGATAATCTTTACAACTTCAATGAATTCATTACTAGTCCATGATCGATCAAATATATGTTTGATCGATCATGGACTTTCTGTCTCTCTCTCTACACCACAAATATGTTGAGAATATTTACTAAATTTGTGGGAATATTTACAATTTCAGTGGTATGCTTACCAAATTTGTAAAAATCTTTACAACTTCAATGGATTCATTACTAGTTCATGATCGATCAAATATATGTTTGATTGATCATGAACTTTCTGTCTCTCTCTTTATGATTGTTCTATTACAACATTAATGAAAATTTATAAGAGTAGTGGAAAAATTACCACAATAGTGATACAAATTACAATATTAGTGAAAAATTTATAACAGTGGAAAAAATTTACAACAATAATGGAAAAAAATTTATGAATGTTTATAATTTATCACAAGAATTTGATAGATCAAACAACAATTTGATCTATTTTTCAAAAT